TCATGAAGTCATGCCAAAATATTTAAGTCTTATTTTAATTGTAAGAGGCCGCGCATCGACCGCCAAGTGACCCACAGCACACTAGGCAAATAAAACCAATTCTTGTTAAAAACTCTGGGTTCAGCAAAAATGTTTGGTGCATATTATTTGATAATAAATCCGTTAACGCAAAAGATAAAGTCAAATATCATTTCTCACAGCTCTTTATTTTATCGTTCATCTCAAAGTTATCTGTTTTCAATAAAATTCTAATTGTTTTCTTGATAATTGCACTGGCCAATAGTCAAAAGATGTAAAGAACAGAATCAATATTACTGGCGTGCATTTAGGTCGCTGGTTCCAAATATTCCAACCTTTTTTTAAAATTAGCTATAGTTTGCGAATTTTCGCAAACTTAAGAACAATCTCGGTTCTAATAGAAAAGCCATTATTTTCCATCACCATGGAAAAACTTTGTTTATGCAAATGAGTATGGAAACACTGAACAGGCACAACTTCTAGAAACACTACTTAGTTTACTTATGTTTATGCATAGAATATAAAAATTGCAAATACAGGAAAATATAATAAAAAATTTGTTCAACATTATTTTTTATTTTACAATAATTTGTTTATAGTCTGAACGATTTTCGTCAAAATATTTTCATAAATCTGTAACAGAAAGTCTCGTCTTCAATTTGGTAGTTATTACATACTGATCGAGTACCAATTACCAAAGTTATATCGAAAAACTTTAGTGGATCTCCAGTTTTTTTCTAAAAAAATTTCTCTTCCGTTGTATAAATAACTTTTACTTAAACGAAAGAAGCGGATTACAGAAAAGTGTGACAGGTAGTGATTTTTCGTTCAAGCTGAATGCAAAGCAATATCGTCCGATTGAGCGTCCTCAAAAGGACGAAGGACTGAAATATTTATGTATATCTAAACACTTATTGCACGTCCCCTACTTTTATATAACATCAAATTTGGAAGCAGCGAAAAATATGCTTCTTCGGTGACTAATGAAACCATTCCGCACCAACTTTCAAAACTGCATAAATGGACTTAAAGGGCTAACTATAATATGAATAAGCTGCCGTAACTGACTGTCAGAAAATGAACGAAAAGTCTGTCAAATGCATAAGCAACGTAGTGTAGACTTTTAGGTGGCTATATTTTACTTACATGAGTTCACTGTTGCCACATTTAATTACATATAACAATAGCCACTATCAAGCAGTTTGTTGTAGATCACACAATTATAGTAGCCTAGAACTGTTCGCCTTGCGAAACTTTCAGGGTAACCCGGTGTTTCTGTAAAAGGAAACGCTTACGGCCCACTTCTTAATGTGGAACCAGAACTTCTTTTGACCTGTGAACTGAATCGAAAAATTGACCAAGTTGAAACATAAGTTACCAAATTACCAAATATGACAAATAAAAAAAAAAATTACCAATTCCGGTAAAAAGACCCAATGCGGCAACACTGCATGTGTTACATTTGTACATACATACGTACGAGGACAAACAGCTGATTCCGTGCGGAAGGTGCGATCCATCGTACAGTTTCATAAGTAAAAACACTATCAGCTGATTGCCAGAAAATGCCTACAGCTGAGATCACCTGTTTTTTGGCATGTGCTCTTATCTTTTACGATTTCTTTCATTTCTATTACAATTTCTTTTATTTCTATTACAATTTATTCAAAATACACTAGCACACTGAATCAAAAACACCAATACACTAACCAAAAACACACCTAGAGCCTGCCAAACACACACCTACAGCCTGCCAGAAAAAACGGTAAGAAGAAGAGTTACTTTACTTATGGAACTGTACGATGGTGCGATCAGTTCCGCTCTTTCCTCAAGCAAATGACGTTTGGCGAAACTTGACAAAACTTGATGGTAAGCACATTATAGTTTCAGAATAGTATTTATGTGTATTCGCACGTTTGCATACGCTTGCTTATTCATATTATAGTTAGCCCTTAAAATGGACGTTTCTCACCCTAATTGTATTATGTTAATGTATGTTAATACTTATATGCTTGAAACTACTATTAACCTATCAAACGATTCCTAATCTCTGTCTGACTTCCTTCACCACGATCTTGAAAACTGACCAAATCCATGGTCCTTTTAATATTATATAATTTAATATTATATAAACATCCGAAAACATTAAAAAGTTTGAAATAAATCTCGTTTCACTTTTTTGTATTTTTCACTTGGTTGCTGGAGTAATGAAGAATTGAAAATTCATATGGGAAAATTATAGTTTTTGTAAGTTTTATCTTAATATCTTAAAAACTTGTAGACGTATTGAAAAATGATAAATGAACGCGAGGTACTAAATTTAATAACCGTTAATTTGAACAACAAGAAAATTGCAGAACGTTCGAGGAATGACGTAGAATATTCGACAGCGAGAAACGTTAAGTGGATGAATACTGCGAAAGGCGAGAGAATGAGAGAACATGCGATAGATGTCAGATAGTCAGTTGCGAATCAGCTAGCTACAAGCAAGTTGTGAAACAGAGATAAATTGTGTTAGCAAGTTTTGTAAAGCGTTGTAACTGCTTAAACAAGTATTGTAAAGTGTTTGTTGTACAATAAACTTAACTTTACTGTAATTTGGTCATCGTGAGCATTTATTTAACAAGTCCAGCGGTACGAACCGAACCGAGGGGATTTTGGGAAATCAGTTAATTAAACAAGGATAATCGTAACAATTGGTGTCAGAAGTGGGATTGTTAAATAAATCCCAGAGGAGAAACTTGTGAAAATGGCAAAAATTCAGGATCTAAAGATTAAGGAACTCAAGTAGGAGTTGGAAAAGCGAAACTTAACAACCTCCGGAAAAAAGTGGAGTTACTATCACGGCTGCGAGAGGCTATGGTAAAAGGAGGTATCGACGTTGACAAATACGACTTCCATCGTGAGAACGACGCGACATCCATGAAGCACGATCAGAAGGATGAGGCCGAAGGATGTGCAGCAGATATCCGGGAAGGTTGAAGAACAGCAAAAGGCTCCTAGTTCTTCAACAGCTATGGACATGAACACGTTATTGGCTGCCATGTCATCACAGCTATCATCGCAGCTGTCAGTCACAGCCACAGGCACTGAAGACACACGTATCACAGTTGCTGGAAGTTCAGGATGCAAATATTACACAACTGCAAGAGATTTTGGCTAAAGCTAACGAACAAATCAAGGATAGATAGGATAAGTTGAGGCTAAGGTAGAACAATTGCAAGTTCGTCTTCGTGATTTGCAGTTGAGTCGTCCACCTACTTCGACGAACGCTCCCAAGGTAAAAACTCCATCCTTTGACAGCACGATTCCTTTCAGTTAGAAAAGGCGGCTACAGCAAACCATTGGAGCTTGGAGGATAAGTCCGCTGTGCTCTATTCGTTCCATTGAAAGGACCTACAGTGGAAATCCTGCAGACTATTCCTGACTGTGAAAGAAACAGTTACAATGCATTGATGGGTGCCGTGGAGAAACGTTATGGTAGCGAGCACAGGAGACAGATTTGCCAGATGGAGTTGGAGAATCACTGACAAAAATCCAACGGCACTCTACAGGAATTCGCCTCAGAGATCGAGAGGTTGGCCCTCTTGGCAATTGGTAAGCACCTCGAAAAGGTAAAAATCCAGAGCTTCATCAACGGGATGAGGGAAATGTATACTAAGCGAGAGACGTATGCGAATCCAAAGCCAACGTTTGCTGAAACAGTATCGTATGCTCAGACAAGTGAAACGACGGCGCTCCTAAGTAGACCAGTTTATGAAGCCCATCAAGTGCCGGTAGAAACACCGGACGCTACAAATGAAATGCTGAAGAAGATAATCAAGCTACTGGGTGCGAAAAAAGAGGGCTCTGGCAAATGTTTTAAATGTGGAAAGCCAGGCCACTTCGCCCGCGATTGCAGCGCAAGTTCCAGTGGGCTGAATAATTCAGCAGGACGCAAGCGCAAAGCTGATAAGGACGAGCCCAGCTCCAATCAGTCGTTAAACTAAAACGAGCCAGCAGCAAGGGGCGCACGTTGGCTCCCGCAATTGAATGCCCCATTATCTCCATCTCGAAAATTGGCAGAAAAGCGAACAACGTTACTGTTGGTGGATATGTGAATGGACATGAGCCACTGCTAACTGTAGATACGGGCGCATCATATTCTATCAGTCGATCTGATTTGGTCACTAAAGCGGTGAGGCCATTAGCTGGAGCAATGTTGAGGACAGCAACTGGTGAGGACACCCAAGTTGTAGGAGGTGAACATGCAAAGTCGCAATAGGGAATGTGACGGTATTACACAAGTTCATGGTCACGGATATTGTGAATGAAGTCATCATTGGAGTAGACTTCTTATTTAATCAAGGCATGCAGATCGACATGAGGAACAGGATTATGACGTATAACAACATGCAGGTGCCCCTTAGCTTTGGGTATGATGGCCCGTACAGTAGCAAGCGAGTGATCCTGGGGGAAAGCGAGCAGATTCCACCGAAATCGGAGCAGCTGTTTGGGCGAAGATTGATGGAGGTTGTGGGACAAACAAGTTGAGGGTTGTCGAAGCAGCACAGAATTCTACACCAGACGTACTTATTGGTAAAACCCTGGCTAAGAAAAAAACTATGGACGCATCGCAGTGCGATTACTTAATGAGGTCAAATCACCAATCAAACTCCGAAGAGGAACTGTACTGGGGCAATGTCGAGAGGTAGAGGCAATCTTCCACTGCGAAAAGTTACCTGTAAGCGTTTTCATTGGCGAGAAGAACATCGCGGAAAACATCAATGCATGGACGTAAGGGTTGCAAGGAAAATGCCAGCACAAGGGTAAGGAACTTCCCCGCAGATATTCCAAAATATTCGACAAGGACGGCAACAAACCAGGCAGGACTAACGTTGTGAAATATCGCATTGATACTGGTGATGTAAGGCCGATCCGTCAAGCTCCTCGAAGTGTTACACTTGCCAAACGTGATGCTATAAGCCAGGTCATAAAAAAAAATGAGCGGATTTGGTATGATTGAACCATCAGCGAGTCCATGGAGTTCGCCGATAGTACTTGTGAAGGAGAAGGATGGTCAAATGCGGTTCTGCGTAGACTACCGGAAATTAAATGATGTGTCGAAGAATGAAAGCTATCTATTTCCCAAGATATATGATACTTTGGACTCATTGACTGGAACAAAGTGGTTCCCAACACTCGACGTTAAGAGCGGTTATTGGCAAGTGAAGGTAAGTGACGGGGACAAGGAAAATATAGCTTTCAGCGTTGGAGATGGTCTTTGGCAATTCACGGTGATCCCCTTCGGATTATGCAACGCTCCTGCCAATTTTGAAAGACTTATGGACCATGTGCTTAAAGGACTGCATTGGAAAACATGTTTGGTGTATCTATACGACATTATCGTCTTGGGTAAAAGCTTTGAGGAACACCTGAATAATTTGGAATAAGTTTTCCTGAGGATAGCTGGCGCTGGTCTGAAGATAAGTCCTAAAAAGTGCTCACTGTTCAAGAAGGATGTGAAGTACTTGGGGCACAAGGTGACAACGGAGGGCATCTGCACTGCGAATGAAAAGGTAGAAGCAGTAAAGGATGGACCAAGACCTAGGGACCTGCAAGAACTACGAAGTTTTCTTGGGCTATGCACCTACTACCGTCGATTTGTTCGGAATTTCACCAGCGTTGCAAATAGCCTCCACGAGCTCACTAGGAAAAATAGAGCCTTCGAATGGAACAAGGAACAGGCGGAGGCTTTCCAAACTCTGAAGGAATGGCTATGTACTGCACCTATGCTAGCGTATCTCGTTCCAGGTCCAACATTTATTTTGGATACGGAAGCTAGCGGTTATGTCATAGGAGGCGTACTGTTGCAGGCAATTGATGGCCAGGAGAAGGTAGTTGCCTACCGGTCGATTGGAAAACCCGGAAGGAACTACTGCGTAACTCGGAGAGAACTATTAGTTTTGGTAGAGTGCGTCAAACATTTCCCCAAGCTCCTCTATGGGCAACGTTTCCGAGTTCGAACGGATCATGCAGCGTTTAAGTGGCTGCTACAGTTCAAGAATCCGGAAGGACAGCTAGCTCGGTGGATTGAGAGACTGCAAAGTCACGACTTCGCTATTGAGCACCGCAAGGGAAATGCCCATGGAAATGCTGATGCCATGTCCCGGTGACCATGTAGCCTGGAATGTAAACACTGCTCAAAAGCTAAGGCTACAGAAGACATTATTGATGTCCCGCTAACGACAATAACACCTGCGGAAGAGTGGAAGGAATTACATCTACGAAAGTGTCAGCGGGATCCAGATCTGAAGCGTTTGATGCATGGACTGGAGATGCATAGATGGCCAACTAAGGAGCAAATGTCAGCGGAAAGCCCAATCGCAAAGGCATACTGTGCACAATGGAACAGCTTAAAGCGAATATCTGGCTCCTTGCATCGGGTACGGGCCAGTGCTCCGCAACCTAATAGTAGTTCCAAGGCTAAGAATTCCGAAAGTACTCAAGGAATTCCACAATGGTCCTAGTGAAGGATATCTGGGAATCACGAAGACCCTGGAGAAGATTTAGCAGAGGTTCTATTGGGTTAGTTGTCGGCAATCAGTCGCAGAATGGACAGCTAATTTCGTGGAGTGTATTGCAGCAAAGGGCCGAAATTCAGAAGTCCTGGCCAGATGAAGCAGTATAGCTCAGGTGCAGGTCCATTTCCTATGAGCGTACTGGGAAACAAATACGTCATTGTGGTTATGGACTACTTTAGCAAATGGCCGGTGGTATACCCGATTCCAAACAAGGAAGCTAAAATAGCAGCGGAGGTATTCACTTACAATTGGGCTGCACTCTGACCAAGGACAAAATTTTGAATCCGCGGTGTTCCAAGAGATGTGCCAGATAAAGGGTATCCGGATGACTCGATCAACGGCTCTTCATCCCCAATCTGATGGCATTGTGGAACGGTTCAACAGAACACTGGAAGAGAATTTAAGGAAAGTCGGGGACAAGAATCAGAAAGATTGGGACGTCTACATACCCTTGATCCTGATGGGATACCGGCAGTGTGTGAAACCGCGGGTAAAAATCCTGCCAACGTAATCTTCGGCAATGAACTCCCTTTGCCTAGTGACCTGAATTTTGGAGTAAGTGGTGAATAATTGGGAGAGAGACGTCCAATCCTCGAGGAGAAGCTGGGAGAGATATATGCTCTAGTGAGACAACGGACGCAAATTATGTGTGACAAGATGAAAGACAGGTACGATGTGGCGATGAATTCTGAGGGTCTCCAAGAAGGAGATTTGGTGCTGCTGTACAATCCACAACGGAAGAAAGGTTTGTCCCCAAAACTACAGTGCAACTGGGAAGGTTCGTATGAGGTTGTCAAACGGCTGAATGGCGCAATGTATCGAATCCTGACCGTTGGGAGATCGAGAAACAAAATGAAGGTAGTTGCAGCGTTTGGAACAGCAAGTGTGTCTGATCGCGACGATCAGACTTAGATGGAGCGCAGTGTGGCGAATATTGCGGCAACGTGAAGCGAACAACAAGAAAATTGCCGAATGATCGAGGTGACGAGTGACGTAGAATATTCGACAGCGAGAAACGTCAAGTGGATTAATACTGCGAACAGCGAGAGAATGAGAGAACATGTGATAGATGTCAGAACGTTCTATAGTTGCCATGAATGCGAAGCATAGCGGGAGATATTAAGGAAAAAGTGTCGTTAATTTAGTAAAAATTTTGATCACTTTTTGTCGTATTTTATACAAAGTGGCTGCTAAATTGTGGACAAATGACGCTTACGACAAAATTTTACTAAACAAAATCCTTTATAAACTCAAAGCTAATTAACATTACACATTACAAATTAAATAATTTAAGAATTTTGTGAACTAGTAACATTTTCAGAGACTTTGGAGAATATCTATCTTCGAGTTTATGGAAAATTGCATTCCAAACTTCAATCACGATTTCCCACAACCTGCCGAAATCAACATACGACAATCTTTTACACAGGCGACGATATATTACAGGTAGTTTTTCTTAAAATTGCATACCTTTCTCTAAATTGAGTAAAAGGTCTGATATATTAAGAAAAAGCATTTCATTACCTTTTATTGATACGGCGCACTGTATTTACATTTTAGCATTAAAAATGACTCACAAAAAATGGAAAAGAAACTTTCTTATCTGCCTATCAACTCGCCTAATTGTGTTATTTCCATCTTGTATATTTAATGAGGATTAAAACACGGCTGCAACGAGTTAAGAGCCGTATACATCATGCAAGCGGTTTGTCAAACTTCGCACGCGGCGATTCTACAGGCAACTTTTGCGTTCAACTCGCGCAGGGCTGCACGAAAAAAAATTGAATGGCTAAAAATATCAAAATATCAAAATATTCGCCATAAAAAGGCGTTTGCATTGTTCAACTTTGCATTCTACTTTTGGTTGAACGGCCTTCCAACTAATCGCTTTCAACAAAGTTGGTCGCCAGCCAACATTTAGCCATTCAACTTTTTTTTCGTGCAACTGAGTTGAACGCAAAATCGCCTCGTGCGAACACCTTTTAAATTAATAACACAAGCGGCTGGTTAAACCTACTTTAGTATTTGCCCATACACCTTTTTGTAGATGAAAAATTAATTTCAACTTAAACTTGTGTCTCTTTGAAGACGGTGTGCGATATGTATATATTTTCTCTTTGTAATGTATCAAAATTTGTACTACACGGAAAATGTAAGTATCTCGCAAAATGAGCGAAAAATAAAAGGTTCATTCTTTATCTTTTTGGACTAAAATTTGAAAAGTGTCAAAATGCCAGAGCGTAAGCAAAATGCGCTCACTAAAAGAGAATAACAGGCAAAAGTAAAGGAACACAAAAAACCAAATTTTTAGTCCAAACAACAACAAAACTAACGTCAAATAAGAATATAAATGTATGTACAAAACACATTCATACAAGCACAGGCACAATAAGGAACGCTTTATGGACTAAATGGCTCGACGTGACAACTAACTTACAGTGCGCTGTATACATGAAGAGACTAGAGCATAAGATAAATAGAGCCAACTGTCACAGTAGCATGCTGAAATGACTCGCTTATATATACACGAGATTTGGAAGTTTTTATCCAGACGTCCAATCGACATGTTTGAGTTATCGTTGGAAAGGTCTTGCAGAGTGTGTCCAGAAAATGTATTCAAGCTTCATAAAGGATTAACCGGATTCTTCAAAATTAGGCTAAAGTGTTGCGAAACAAAAAACGTTTTTTTGCTTTTGCCAACATATTTAGTGTTATTCTATAGGCCAATACCTTTCAAACGGTACCTTACATATTAAGTTCCGGCTACTAGTTGGAAAGATATAGAGGTAAATGTGTTTTGTTTCGTGTCTCCACTACGAGATGCTTTGGTATGTATGTGGCGTCTGCACGTACCTTCATTTAATTTTTTTCAAACTTTCAGGAATTGAAGTACCAAAAAAACTAGGAAGGTTTTGTTCCAGGATGTTTTGATTCGTATGCCTTTGTGGGCGTGGCTGCTGCCGCAAATTCGAGAAAAGGCAATTTTTTAAACTACCACTGAGGCCGCACTACTCAGTCCATGTCATTGATGTGGATATCAGTAGAAGGGTCTTCAAACAAGCTATCTAACGCTATCTTTTGTGTTTATAAAATATAAATATGTCATAACTTTATTTTCTCAAAAACTGGTCAGTCGATTTTATTCCAAGTTTCCACAAATCTAGCCCAAAATCTTAGCTTTCATCTGGCATACAGCTTATATCTGGAAAAACTCTTGTTGTGGAGATATTGCGATTCAAATTGAAAAAATGTCGCTCCAAAACGGGTCAAATGGTTAAAAATTAACATGTCAGTATAATTTGGTTACTTTAAGATATAAAAATAACATACCGAGTTCCCCGAAAAAAATTTCTAATTCCCCGATTGCCACTTAAACCGAAATTCCCTGGAAATCGGGGAATTTCCCGCGAGTTGACAGGTTAAAGGATGCAGCTGTGCTAATCACTTCGTACATGTCTTAGAAACCACAATTTGTGTGTATTTTAGAGTTTTTTTCAGTCACATGCCAAAATTGTAACATTTTTCCCCATTTTAATTGCAGGTATGTACACAGTATGTAACTATGCTACATGGGTTTATCACCCGCACTTAACCTACCTGGGAAGACGCGTTACCTACAGTTGTACATAAATATGTATGTCTGAATGCATTTAGTTCACCCAATGCCGCTACTACTTACATACATATGTATAAATTGCCACTGAGCAAAACTACTTGAGAAAAAAGCATTAGTTTAATAGCACGAGTGCAACATCGTACACGCGATAGAAGTAAAACACTGCTGAAAGCATGTAATATTATTTTGTTAAAGAGATAATTGAAATACATAAAATTTAAAAATTTAACCACACTACAATAAGTTTTTATCA